ATACATATGCTATTTAAATTTGATTTTCTCCTGTTAATCTGTCTCATGTCAATTTGATTCTCAGTGCAGCTAGAAGTCTCTTTGAGGGGACAAGAATTCTTGTTCTCCAACAGTTTCAAATGAAGAGGCCACAACCCTTAAGTCTTGAGTCTGGAAGGGAATACAAGAGTAACCAGCACTTCTGGCTCATTTTCCTAAAAATGGTACTGTTCAGGGAGGGGCACGGAGAGTGATAGGAAATGAAGGGGAGGTATGTCAGAGAGATCTGTTCCTGTTCCCAAGCACGGGTTTCCAAAGACTCAGTGAAGAAACAGATTTCATTATTTTATGAGCACATATAAAGTGCTTTGTTTCTACAACTCCTTTTCCAGCTTAAGTCTACAGAAAGCCTGCCATGGCCTACTCAGGCCTGGAAGGTTCTGGGCATAGAGTAACGAGCTCTTTTCTTGAGTTTAGAAAAGGTTCAGCCAGAAACTCCAAATTAAGTTTTAAATGAAGTTACCCACTTACGGTGCCCCTGATTTGGGTCTTTTTGGTATACATATTGAAATTTGTAACCAGGACACTAAGAGAGTGTGTATAAACAAGTTATGGCAATACGAATCCTTCTCTTTTTTTTCCTCCAAAACATATTAAGATAAAAGGAAAAATTTTTATTGGAACATGAAATGGAGTCCTCTTGTCAGTAATTCCCATTCTGACTAGAAAGGCTGTGGAAGGTCACAGGTGGGTCTGGGCAGACCCTGCACTCTGTTCATTGCACCTTGTAGCCAAAGGGCACTAGCATAAATGTGGGGCCCCGAAAATGGGTTTCTTACTTTATCTGTAACAAGTCTGAGGTCGAGCTGGTTTAGTCTATTCCTGAATGAAAATGAAACCGTATTTTAAAAAGAATAGTATGGTATAGGTTTGATGCTTTCTAAAATATTCTTTTAAGGGGTGCCTGGGTGGCTCAGTCGGTTAAACGTCTGCCTTCCGCCCAGGTCATGATCTCAGCCTGTGATGACGGGCTCCTTGCTCAGCCGGAAGTCCCTCCACCCCATCTCTCTCCGCCCCTCCCCCCTGCACGTGTGCTCTCGCGAGCTCTCTCTCAGATAAACGAATAAAACCTTGAAGAAATAAAATAAAATAAAATGTTCTTTTAAGCAAGTGTTTATCATTCCTCTTAAAACTAGGGAAATTACCCTGTTAAAAGAACTTATTTCCATGTAACTCCCTCCCACTTTTCCCCCCAGATTAAGGAATGATGATGAGCTCTGGTTCAGTAGATAAAAGCCTGAAGAATCTCAAGAGGCAAAGAGAAATTGTTATATTATGTCACACTGAGAGCTCTTGAGTATTTAAGAAGATGTAGGACTCTTAGATAAGCAATTAGTGGGAACCATCCCTCTGATGTGTAAGATAAATGTTAATGCTTTTCTAACTACATACTAAGATATACCAGTCATCCTTACATTCCTGAATTATAATGAAATGTGGGTCCCAACTAATCTTTGTTATACATTAAGGACAAAAACAAATGTCCCAGGGACAACAACTAGACTGGCTTTATCCATCATACAAAACCATTTAACCTTGTTAGCATTTAACCTCACATATAAACATAGTATTTTTTTGTCTGAGAATGTAAACTCATTAAGGGCAGGGACTTTGATCCTATCTGCAGTACTCACAACTACGCCTGGCAGATAGTAGGTTTTCAATAAATACACATCAAATGAACAAACTTATTAGAGATCGGTTTGCCAAAACGGGTGGCCAATAGAAGTTTTCAACAGTGTCTATCTATTGTTGTTATACTAGGTAAGAATGAGTTCACAGAAACACTAATTTACAGCAGTTTTCAGATATCCAAAATGGATTGGAAATTTGGTGTTTTAATATGGCTCTGGTCCTTGTCAACCTCCTTTTCCTTTTCCTTCTTTCCTTCCTTCTTTCCCTCCTTCCCTCTTTATTGCCCCTTCCTTCCTCCCTCCCCCCGCTTCTCTTTCTTTCTTGTTTTAATTCCATCACTGATATCCAGGAGGTTCAGTGGAATAATGGTTAGGTGCCTGTGCTCCAAACCCAGCGCTGCTTCTTACTGTGTGTCTGAAATATCCACCTACCCTCTGGCCCCTCAGCATCCTCACATATGAATAGGGATTATAAGAATTCCCTCATAGGATTATTTTGAGGATTAAAAGAGAGATAATACATGAAAGCACGTAGAGCAAGACCTGGGATATGGCTAACAATAAATAGTACCTGTTATTATTATTATTTTGGCTGTCATTTGGATTTTTACTATTTCTGGCGTTTCTAATTTCTTTTTTACTTTTCCTGTACCTTTCCTTAACTTCAATAATTCTCAAACACTACATGGTATTTTTGCCCTGTTTCTTGCCTTATTCCCAGTTATTTAAAAAACCTGCTTCATGGGGTGTCTGGGTGGCTCAGTCGTTAAGCGTCTGCCTTCGGCTCAGGTCTTGATCCCAGGGTCCTGGGTTCGAGCCCTGCATCAGGCTCCCTGCTCGGCGGGAGGCCTGCTTCTCCCTCTCCCGCTCCCCTTGCTTGTGTTCCCTCTCTCTGTGTCTCTGTCAAATAAATAAATAAAATCTTTAAAAAAAAGAAAAAAACCTGCTTCATTATATCTATTCCGTTTGATCTTCTTTCATCCAGAGGCTTCTTACTCAGAGTTCTCTGACCATCTGAGGCAAATTGCACAAGTGGCTCTCTTGTCTGGGTAAAGTACAGATAGAGTAAAACTATCTGTAAAATGGGAAAATGCCAGCACCTGTCTCACAAAGTCCTGGAGAGCACTGCATGAGGTACTTAATGTTAAAGACCATCAGTAGTGTCATGCATAGAATTACTCACTTGACGATAGTGAACATTTTTTTTACCCACAATGTCCTCTCTTCTTTTTGCTGGCTAACCCCTGGTTGATTTTTTTTTTTTTTTGCAACTCTTAATAGTATATCAAAATTCTGTGTTACCATTATCTAGGATTGCTACTGAATAGATACCAGAATTGTACTCATAAGACACAAGAGACTAATGTGAAATGACTTCCAAGGGCCAACAATGAGTTTGTACAGCCTGCTTCAATTCTCTCTAGCCCTCCTTATGTGGTTTAACTAAATCTCTTTAATGCTGGAAATTTCTGTCTCTCCTTCTCAGAGAGAGAGAAGCAATTTTTTCTTTTTAGCAAAGAGAAAAAATGAAATAAAACGGCTCCCTTCTCCCTCCTTTCCCCACTCCCTGTGGCCCTAAAGAAGAAGACTCTTACAGGTTTACACGTTACCCTCAAGACCTACCCAGTGCTTAGATGTTAACAGCTCACTTGGGGCACACCTCCCTTCCCAACCCTAAGAGAGCCAGTGGAAACCTGTTGAGCTTGAGAACCTCACCACGGCAAGATTTTAAGTTGCACAACAGATGCAACTTCACACAGTAACTGCAGTCTACGTTAAGAAATCTGTGTGTGCGTGTGTGTGTGTGTGTGTGAGAGAGAGAGAGAGAGAGAGAGAGAGAGAGAAACAGACAGACTGACCTGCTCTTATTCCTGCCCTTCCTCCGAGCTTCTCACAGCCACTCCACCTCCCTTCCCCACCTGTGCCATCAGGAAGAAGCTGTGCTTAGCTCTCTGTGGCTTGGCTCCTCCTAAGACTCAGAGCGAGAAGGGGTCTAACTATTGACTCAACTTGATTTTATGCAGACAAGGTTAGCAAATTAGAACACTCTTCTAGCTGGGTTTTGTTGAGTGGTAGAGTTGTCCTGAACCATGAGCACCTTCACCATCCAAAATGCAAACAAACACAGTCACAGCTGCTTTCTTTTCCAGAGGAAGAAAGGCTATCTCAGAAGACATTTCTCTTTTATGCAGACTGAACTCTGCTTCATTGAGTTGATTCCAGTCTCCAACAATACAAACGGAACTCTTAAGAAATATTCACACACAAAAGTATTCATCATTAACGCATTCATTTGTGAAACCAATGGTATACTAAGGCCAGACCACATGCCACAAAAAGACCTAGATTTGGTAATGGCTGTGTCAGTGGCAACACACAAATATACGTAGTCACCAAATTTTGTTTCATTCTCTAAGGCAGTGGTTCTCAACTGGGGTCGATTTTGGACACCAGGGCAATGTCTGCTGATGTTTTTAGTCGTCACAACTGGGGTAGGGGGACAACTGGAATCTGGTCGGTAGAGCCCAGGGATGCTGCTAAATATCCTTCAGTGCACTGAAGGGTACCAGACTATGTCCCCGCAAAATCCACCGCTGTGATATAAGTATTATCTTGAGCTAAAGACAGAGGCAGAAAAAGCTCTTTACCTCCATGTAAATGCCTAAAAATAAAGTATAAATGTCCTCTTTTGCAAATGAAATTTACATTTATAAAGGAAATTTCCATTTGTAAAGAAGTCTCTGTACCAGGAAGAGAGCTACTCTGGGAGACAACTCTTATCATCTGAGCAACTCTTATCTGCATAACAAGACAACCCTATTACCATACATTTCCTTCCCTCACCTTCCTATAATTTGCCTCCCTTGCCAAGAAGCCCAAAACTCTTTTTTCTTTGTTTAGCCTAAGATGGTATATAAACCTCAATTATCTGACCACCTCCTTGAGTCTCATTCCTTTGTGAAACTCCTGTGTGGATGTATGTAATTAAATTGTTTTTTTTTTCTTGTTAATCTTTTATCAGTTTGATTTGTAAGCTGCAGCCATTGAACCTAGAAAGGTACAGGGAAAAAGATCTTTCCTCCCCACAGCAGAGGACAGTCTCCCAAGACAAACAATCACCAGGCCCCAAATGTAAATGGTGCCGATGTTGAGAGATCCTGCTCTATATGGACAGCTAGAAATCTAAAGCACAAAAAATCAGCTTGCTGTTTGGGAGCTTAGTAGCCTACGAGAAGCCCAACTAATTCTTGTCTCTGGCGTGTGTCTTGGACATATCACTGAGATCTTCCATGTTTCCAACTGTGCTTAATAAAGGGACTCTGCAGGGTCAAACAGATGGGTTTTATTCCTCGGCCGGTCTGCTGGTGACAGATTAGGAGTGCCCCACCATGCTGTGATGCTGGCAGGCAAGCGTCTCGGTGAAACAAAAAGTTCACCAAAGCACAAGCCTGAGGGACACCGGTGTTTTGAGTGTTAGGAAATTAGGGGAGGTAAAACCCCGAGTATTTGGCGCAGAGAGGTATTAGGTGGTCTGCAGGCTCAGATGAACGCCAACAGGCTGGATGAGCAGCCAGTACAGTTTACATGCAGATGGTCCTCCTGACCACAGAGTGGGAAAGGAGATCTGCCCAGCTCCGGCTCCCGTTCCAGCTCTGCCCGGAGCCGGTGACGACAGGCAAGGATCGAACCTTCTCTGTGAAATCAGCAGCTCACCCGTGCTCTGTAGGATTCCCTCTAGCTCTGTCCTTCTCCATCCATGGTCTCCTCTCCAGGTGCTCTGGCACACAGGGACTAAGATACTTCTGTAACAGGAGGCCGGCGAGGTCTATTTGTGGATAGGCAATAGTATTTGGTAAAGGAAATAAAGAACAAAAGGAACAAGTGCAGGTCTGCATACACAGGAAAACCTTTAATTTGTTAATCATTCATTCAACACACATTTATTCACAGAGCATCTCTTCCGAATAAGGTATACAAAATTCTCTATTTTTCTTTCTAAAAATTTGTTTCCAGCAAACCGAATGGGAAGTTTGTTAAGTCTATCTGCCTGGATGCATAGCAGTTAACATTCAGTTCCACCACCAGAGTCCCTCACTCCATCCCCCAAAGGACAGACGGGACTCCAGAAGCAAATACCCTCCCAGGTGTTGCTGACACAGCACATATTTGGCTATTCCTCTCAGTGGGAAACAGAGACATAACTTCTCTGCGACTACAACTTTCTTCACAGCCTTGGTTCTTCAAAGATTTGAAGTGAACTCTTCTCTTAGAGACAATATGCCAACAAGTCAACTCACAACTTCATTCAACACTCTTATTCTGGAGCTCGGGTTCTTGCGTCTGTGATGACTGCCCGCCATGCAGAACGCTGGCCTCCGGCCTGGAGAGCTGCATGCCAGGGAGGGTGCCTTGGCTCCAACCAACGGTTACATCTTCAAAAAGGCCACCTGGAGAAGCAAAGAAAACCCATGATGCTTTACTTATACAACATGATGAAACGGCTAAACGCACATCAACTCATAATCAGGTAAATCTGGTCAACAAGGATGCAAGCTGATCTAAGAAAGAAAAATGACTCTTCGTCGGGGCAGACATTGCCATTTTACAGCAGGAGCCAATTACTCCTCTTTTAATGAACCATGTAGTAATTAACATGATTCACATGCCCTTTAAAGAAAATAAATAAATAAAAGTTTTAATTGACACTCAGGTTGCACTGCCCTGAAGTGACCCAGTCCTCTTTCCCGTTGGTTCCAACTACTGTTTTGGACCTTCCTTGAGCAGAATTTCGAGTCCTGAAGATTCCTGGGCAAGTCCAGTTCCTCACGGCTAGCCTCTCCTCAGGTCATGCCGATGCTTTTCATCACATTCAATTATATTTATTGTGCTTGTCAGTAGCAACTGATCTTAAAACTTAGTGTGTAAAATAATTCAGACAGGCCTACCTACAAATTGAATGAGGCCCAGATCAAATGCATCTATTTTCCCAATAGTTTTAAACCACAGAGAAACAAACAATAAAGCTAATCATAGAAGTTTAGAAAGTTTTAGTTCAGAGGTGATAATAAATTGGGAAGTGTGCCTGTATCAGGAAGACAGCAGACTGCAGATTAGTGACAAAGATGGGGAAGTGTGGGAGGACTGGCAAGCTCATGCTTGGCCTTGTTGTGGGCGTGGGGCTGGGGAGGGGAGAGTGAGCCACAGAAATAAATACATTCTACTCTTGGACAGCTGGTTCTTAAGTCCCCAAATGCAGTCAAAGGAGGCATGTATTTAATGATCCCTGTTAAGGGGAAAGGAAAAAGGAAGAGTCACGGAGGGCAGAAAGCATCTGCTTTATGTTGAGTAATTCAGAAGGATGTTACTCTTCCTACAGTGCTGGTGAGAAAGGCACCTGCTGAGTTTCCATATCAGCTTCCTGCTGAGTTTTCTATATCAGGCTCTGCAATGAGAACACCAAAGTTGAAGGAGCAGGCAAGGAAGAAAGGTTAAGATTCCTAAACAAAATGTAAACGCAGACAACAGATACAAACTTCAAGGGCTTACTGTGAAGATTAAATGGGATCATGGTTATGAAGATACGTGTGTTTCTCTTCCATGCCTCTCGGCTGATAGGAGCCCATGCACCTACCAGACGAGAAGGGGCAGTTCAAGAGACAGCAGTGGGGCCCCTGAGGGGATGGTCACAGAATTACAGGGGAAGGTTGTTCAGTCTGACTTCTGGCTCACTGTGGATAGTGTCTCCGTCAGGTGACCCTGCCTCTGTAAGAACAGTTCATGGGGACCTTCCAAAGAAGACAATGCCACTGTTCATATTCAGAAACAGGGAAACCATGGATGAAAACCAGTTATCTCCTTTTTAATTCTGAAAATTGCTATGTCATGGAGTATTCCAACCAGAAACCACTCAGAATAATGATAATACTGATAAATGTCATCATACAAGTGGTTAATAACTTTAGCTCTGGAATCACACAGACCAGTGGTTCTCAACTTGGGGTGATTTTGCCCGCCAGGGGACACGTGGCAGTGTCTGCGGACATTTTTGGTTATCATAAATTGGGGAATGCTGTTGGCATCTAGGGGATAGAAGCCAAGGGTGTTGCTAAACATGTTATGATGCACAGGACAGCCCCCTGACCCCCAAGAAAGAATTACCGGTCCTAAAATGTCAATAGTACTGATGCTGAAAAATACCGACATTATAGATACAGGATCTTAAAACTAGATCTCTATTCGCCAGCCATGTGACCTTCAACAAACTGGTCAGCAGCCTCTCTCAGCCCTTCCTCATCTGCAAAATGGGAATTATAACGGGACCTAGCCAACACTTGTAAAACACTTCATAGCATAGGAAGCCTCTTTGGACTGCTTTGGACTCACCACAAACCTGTGATTTACATAAAGCAAATGAAGAAACAGAAGCTCAGAAAAATTAAGTGACTTGCGCTGGAGACAGAGCTATTACGTGGCAATCATGGACTGAGGAAGAAATTTTGATTCTCAATATATGCCTTTCCCACTAGAAGTTTTCAGATGAATGAGGTAAACTGCACAGGTTTGGGGACTTTTAATCTTCATTATTGCCTCAAATATCAAAGATTTATCTTCTTTTGCATGCCTGTGAATATGAACTTGGGATGGAACAGGTGCATAAGAGACTGAGCTGATTAAATAATGCAAAATGGCGCCGTACACCACCCCCCCAAGAGAAGAAAAACTTTAAAATTTGACCTAATATGTCTTTTTTCATCTCTGGTTTTCATAGTTCTGCCTGCCAAGTACATAATGTATTTTACAGGACTTAACAACAAGAAACTGCAATCATCCTTGGGAACAGGTACTATACAATGCATTTTAGCTTCTTTTTATTTAAAACACTGTGAGTTAATATATTTCAAATGCTGATTTTGTGTTCTCTAGCTTTTATCCATGACAGCAAAAATTGCTTTCCCTAACTGCCATTTATTTTGAGGATAATTTTGTTTCATTACACTGGGAAAACTCCTTGTATTTCATCTTTTTAGTTTTATTCTGGAAAGTAAAGCTACAGCTTACATTTCTGGAACATATAGTTACAGAAGTATATATTATTATTAAAAACAAGGCAAAGAGGGTCTCTTTCCTGTTGGCTATAAGGTTTGAGTCTCCGTATTCTGTGCACCTGAATTTGGACAGTTGGGAACAGGAAGAAGGAGAGGAAGTTAAGATGTCTGAAAATAATGTCTCTGCTTTGAGTCATCACCGAAAAACAATCTTCTTCAACCACAACAAACAGGGCTAGGCTGATGTGATAGCTGACCAGATGTTAAGTTTAAAATGCTTCAATACATTTACATAATATGTTAAAACACTTCTTAGTGTTCTTTTATCTTAGTTAACACATTCATATTACTAAATTCAATTCTTCAACATAGATTTGAACTTTCAATCAGTAAAAAAATATGCCGTCAAGGCAGGCTGCACAAGATAACATTAGCATTAAAAGAAAAGGCTATCTAAGTGCTTTGGGGTGTGTTAACAAGACAGATAAAACTGGAAAATACTCGAAAATGTGAACTTCGTAATACTTGTAAGCTTTAGAAAAGACTCTTTAATTTTAAATTTTTAAAAGACTCTTTAATAAGCACAGCCATACCCAAATGTTCCTTCTAAAGGGTACTGTAGACTTAAAAAAATAAGTATATAAAACCATGCCTTCAATATGTATTTTTGTGTAGGTATGGCTCATGTTCAAAGTTAGGTTCTGAAACAGAATGCTTTAATGGCATGGAAAAAGAGAGTTTATACTTTATATTATACAACAGTTTCTAAAATCAAACCTCATGGACAAAATAAAAAAATATAAATGTAAATATAAAAATATCAGAAAATGACTTTTTCAAGCATCTGTCAAATCATAAGATGAAGCAATTTTTGCTAACTCGCAAATACAGCATGGGTCTGGTCCATGCTGGTAATACCTGGCCTCCACTTTTCGAGTGGGACAGATAGTAGAAGGTATTCCTTCCTGTGGGCTGGCAGGCTGGCTTCATTCATTCAACTCATTGAGTCATGAAGTGTTGTCTAGGTGCCAGTGACTGTGCCAGTCCCAGAGCACACACAGGAGGCGTCCTCTTAGGGTGCTAACATGACAGCGGGGGAGACAGCCCAGGAACGAGATGATTCTAATAAGGTGGGATAAGTTTAAGATGGATGCCGAATGCCTGCCGGGAGAAAAAAACTATTCTTGGGTTATGAAAGGAAGTACATTTCTGAGGCAGTACCTTGAGAGAGATCGTTCTTACTCTGATTATGAACATTGTGCTGATGGGGCAGCAAAAAGCTGGCCTGGAACAGTGTGGCAAACACTTTTTCCTCCTGAAGGATGGTGGCTTGCTGAAGGATTAGCAAAGAGGGGGGATGGAACAAAAGACCAGAGAAACAATACAATGAGGAAGAAGAGCTTGTCCCTCTAAAATGACAGCAGTTAAGTATTTACTTAACTGTGGACCAAAACTCTAGACTAAGGGAACATCAGTGCAGCCTTCCAACTCCACACTGCACAAAATCTGTAAGAGCTTTCAGAAAGTAGGAAAAAGGGGTGCCTGGGTGGCTCAGGTCATGATGCCATGGTCCTGGGATCGAGCCCCGCATCAGGCTCCCTGCTCAGTGAGAAGCCTGCTTCTCCCCCTCGCCCTGCTGGTGTTCCCTCTCTCGCTGTCTCTCTGTCAAATAAATAAATAAAATCTTAAAAAAAAAAAAAAAAGAAAGTAGGAAAATGTAGTAAGATGGACATCTGGGAGTTATTTGAAACCTTGACCTTGTATTTTCTCTAAGCCAGGGATGCACTGTGATAACTTCCATATACATAAAAAGCCTGCCGATTTTCATCGACGTGGGATGCAGGTAAGCCAGGCACGGCTGTTTTGCAGTGGACATCTAGGTGGAAAGCCAGCAGTATGTCGAGTATCAGAAGAGAGGTTATATGTGGGGGAGAGAGGAAGACTGATGCCCCTTCATCTCTAGATAGGGCTGCAAACGTGGGCTGATTCAACAGTTACCGGATCTTGATCCTATTCACCAAAGCAAGTAGGTTCCAGACATGAAATTCTCATCAGTTCTTCCAGAATAAGGGGACGGTGGCCAATACTGCTGGCAATGTCATGAACAAGGAGTTCGGATGCCATCACTGAAGCTTCCCATTCTAGAAAGCAAATCCAGGCCCTGGGCTAATGACAGCAAACGCATGGGGCCAACATTTAGACAGCAGTAGTCTTTAGGTATCACATAAAAATATATGGCCTCAAGCACAACATGTATTTGTTAAAATAAATAATTCTGGGTGGGTGTTCAAATGCATGATATAAAACAGTGCCACCACAATAAAATACACCACCACTCACGAATCAAAAAGTCTTCTGAGTTTCTAATTCCTATGGAATATCTACCGCAGAGAAGGTGGCAG